TTTTTAAGATATATTTGTGCTCCTATGTTGGGTGCATATATGTTTACCAAGGTTATATCTTCCTGTTGGATAGATGCTTTCAATATTATGCAGTAGCCTTCTTTGTCTCTAATTATGGTCTTCATTTTGAAGTCTAAATTATCAGATATGAGTATTGCTACCCCCGCTTTTTTCCTTTCTGTTTGCTTGGAAGATTTTTTTCCATCCCTTCACTTTCAACCTATGTGAGTCTTTTGTTGTGAGGTGCGTCTCTTGTAAATAACATATATGTGAGTCATGCTTTCTTATTCAGTCAGCTACTCTGTGTCTTTTTATCAGAGCATTCAAACCATTCACATTTAAGGTAATAATTGATATGTACTTATTTATTGCCATTTTTGTTTAGTGTGGTTATATTTTTCTCCCTGTTTCTTCTACTAATTACAGCAGTCCTTTTAGCATATCTTGCAGTGCTGATTTGGTGCTAATACATTCGCTTAGCCTTTTTTTTTTTTTTTTTTTTTTTGGTCTGGAAAGCTCTTTATTTGACCTTCTATTTTGAATGATAGTCTTGCTGGATAGAGTAGTCTTGGATTCAGATCCTTGTGTTTTATGACCTTGATTACTTCCTGCCACTCCCTTCTGTCCTGCAGTGTTTCTATTGAGAAGTCAACTGAGAGCTTTATGGGGTCTGCTTTGTAGGTAACCTGTTGCTTATCTCTTGCTGCCTTTAGGATTATCTCTTTGTCTTTAATTTTTGGCATTTTAATTACTATGTGTCTTGGTGTGGGCCTGTTGGGTTCTTCTTACTTGGGGCTCTCTGTGCTTCTTGAACTTGAATGCCTTCTTTCTTCACCAAGTTAGGAAAGTTTTCTGTCACTGTTTCTTCAAACATAGTCTCTAACCCTTGCTCATTTTCTTCCCCTTTGGGGACTCCTATGATGTGAATGTTATTATGTTTCCAGTTGTCCCACAGTTCTCTTAAGCAATCTTCCTGTTTTTAAATTGTTTTTTCCTTTTGGTTTTCTGATTGGTTGATTTTTCTACCCTGTCTTCTAATTCACTGATCTGGTCCTCAGCTTCCTCTACTCTGCTAGTTAGTCCTTCCAACTTGTTCTTAATTTCTGCTATGTCATTCTTCATTTCCACTTGGTTGGTTTTCAATGTTCTATATCTTTACTCATGGTCCTGATGTCCTTACTCATGCTGTTGAGCTTCCTCAAGATCATGGCTCTGAACTCTACCTCTGATAATTTGCCAAACTGCATTTTGTGTATCTCATCTTCGATGGAGTTCTCTTGTTCTTTCTTTTGGCATTTGTTTCCTTGTTTTACCATTTTGACTATCTCAATGGGTTTTGGAGCCTGCCAAATTTTCCCTGTGGGTGTTGGTGTTCTGCTGTTTGTGGCTTCTCTACTGGGTTTGGATGAGCCTGGGTGGGCCCACGTTAAACACCACTGTCAAGTCTTACTTTCCTGGGTAGATATGCAAGCCCAGGAAAGGTTCAGTTATCCTTCAGCTTTTTCCTGGAGGCCAGTAGTCTCAGTTACTCAGGGCCTTGGAATGTAGCCCTGGTGTTCTGCATAAGAGGATTTCCAGAGGGTGGGATAGATGCTGGTTGTCAATGAGCCTCAATTTGCATTTCTTTGCCTCACCTGGGAAAGGGTGAATCTCCAGGAGAGGGGGCTGCTGCTTTCCCCCACAGCTCAGGGTAGGAGCACACTGGCCATTGTCCTTTGTGGCCGCAACTCAGCGAAACTCTGAGTGCCCTCCAAATCCGGGGTGTCCCCCCAGAGTTCCAGCCCCGTCTGCCCTCCCTCTGCTGGAGCCCCCAGGTGAGTGGCTGTGGCTATTTTAGTGCTCTGTCCTGGCTCTGTGAGCTGTGGAGTGAGCTTGGTCTTTATTCCCCAAAGTCGCTGCTCACAGCTAAGACTGCTGCTGTCTGTGGGCTCCCAGCCCGCCACCCTATCACACCTCTGCTGATCCTACCAGCGTCCCTGGTTATATGGTCCTGTCCTGCTGCTTTGCTGTTGCTTTTTTCTGAGGATTTGTCTTTATTTTAGTTGTAATTCCCCTTTGGTCCTGGGAAATTGTCTGTGAAGCTTCTATTCACTCTGCCTCCATTTTCACATACTCTCTAGATGTAATATTTTTATAGCTCAATTTTTTATACCATTTACAGCTCTGGCCCAGCCGGTGTGGTCCCATGGACTGAGAGGTCCCGGTTCGATTCCTGGTCAGGGCACATGCCTGGGTTGCAGGCTCGATCCCCAGTAGGGGGCATGCAGGAGGCAGTCAATGGATGTGTCTCTCTCACATCGTTTTTATCTCTCTATCTAAAAAAATCAATAAAAACATATTTAAATAAATAAATAAATAGAGGCAGCTCTAATGTTAACACCGAACACCAGGGCCCATCGCGCTGCCAGGACCCCAGTCTGAGCCCCTGCTTTCCCTGAGGTCCCACCACCACTGAACCCCCTGTGCGTGACCTCGTTTTTCCTCCTCACCCACGAGCACACACCCTCTCTGTCCGTCCACGGGGTTCTGCGGCTCCAGGCCCTTCTAAACTCCCACGTCCTCCTCTGAGCTCTGGGCCGGGCCACCTGAGGCAGACGTCTGGTCCCCCTAGTGACGGCCAGGTAGCCGGGCAGTGCCTCAGGGCAAGACAGAGGTTCTGCTGCTCCTGGTGTCCTGCTGGGGACAAGCACAGGGCCCAGACGTTTCGTTTTCTGTTGTTTTCCTGAAGGACAGGGACAGATTGATTGCTTTGGCAGCACTGGGTGGCCAGGAGGCCCACATGATGCAAGAGTAGGCGAAGCCATCCAGGGAAGCCTGCCCCAATGCATGGTCCAAAGGCCGGGAGTCACCATGCTGTGAGTGTGGGCTTTGGGGTCAGACCAGCTGCGGCCAAACCCTGCTGTTTACCAGTTTGGGTCCTTTTTCAACTCCTTTGAGCCCACACATCCTCATGAAAGAGATGAATACATAAAGTAGCCCCTAACTCTAGGGTTATTGTAAGAATTTAAAAATGCGGTAACATCCGTAAAGCACCTTCACACACAACACCTGGCCCACGAAAGAGGCTCTATCATTGGACCTAATGGGGCCAATTGCAGCTAGGGAGATGTTGGTTGACAAAAATGGACTGCCAGAATGAGGCGAATCTTCGGGAATTCCAAACTGGAGAAAGTATGGAGGAAAGAGGAATTCCTCCAGGCGCATTCGGTGGCATCATGTCCAGTGGGCAGAGCTCTGGCTCTGGGCTCAGTGGGCTGAGGTCAAACCTGGCCATCAGCTTCCATTAGCTCTGTGACCTCGAGCAGATCCTGTCTCTATTCTGCGTCTCCGTAGCCTCGTTTATAAGACGGGTGGTGCTTTCCTCCTCATACAGGCGCTGTGAGCAGCACATGAGATGATGGCATTGTAACCAGTTCACGGGTGAGCGGCACTGGCAGGGCGCTAGGAATGCACAGCTGGGTCTCTGTTCCCCGTGCCCGTCTGAGCCCACTCTGCTGCAGGGCCCCATCCCCAGGGCCCAATCCCCTAAATTAAATGCCCTCCAGTTACTTTCTTATATCAACAAAGACAGTGTCATAAATGAAAGAGCCCAGATTCTTGTAAATCACGACATCTTTCTCTTGATTGAGAGCATCTTCGTCCACCTCAGCTGGGGTCTGGTTCGGGCTCACCAACCCCCAGGGGAACGGAAGGGGAGGTGGCTTCCTCACCATTCACCACCTTGCTCTTCCTCTCCTTCCACAGCGCCTGACTTTTGGGGCCAGGGAAGGAAGGACCTTACTTGACTGGTGCAGTTGGAATTCAGTATCCCAAATGAGAGATGCCAAACGTGAACTTCTCTCCGTGGGGTGTTTCTGTGGGATCCTTGGAGACCCCACTTCCTCACTGGGCAAACCTTTTGAGCAGAGTCTCAGAATCACCATGTCTGGCTGCCTCCACCTCTCTCTGCAGTGACAGCAATCAGGGACCCGCCTCTACTTCCCCGCTAGGCTGTTCTCCTTGCTCTGCTTCAGGGACCCCTCCCGCCAGCACCTGTCCCTGAGGTAGTGGAGCCCTCGGTTTCTCAGCCTCTCACTGTTGGCACTGTGTGATTATTCCTGTCCCGGGCATTATACGGTGTTTAGCAAAATTCATGGCTTCTACCCACTAGATGGGGTTGCACACTGCCCCCAGTTATTACAGAAATGTCCCCTAGGGGGCAGAGTTGGCCTTGCTCGAAAACCACTGGATTAGACTATCCCAAGCAAGAGTTCGTAAAACATGTCAGTGCTTCCTAATCCCCAGGGAAGGCTTTAGGCTCCATGAACACTTGGCCTAAAGACACACTAATCCCTCCTCCTCAAATACTCACTAAGCCTTTCAGTCCCCCCTCCGTCCTATTTCATAGCCCAGAAAAGGGGGTACAGAGCCGAGAGTGGGATGTCCTGGTTTGGGCCACTCCCGGCCATGTGCACAAAGGGTCCTTTCTTTGTAGAATGTGGGGCATTTGTCACTTTGGATGCTCAACACTTATTGCAAGGGGGACACATTCTATTTAGGCACACTGGGGACAGGAACGGGGCTGTTGAATCTTCGGTTCAGGGACACCATAAGTATTTTAAAACAAATGTACATGAGGAAAATGTACTTAATAAAAAAATATTTTAAGCATATACAACTTACTCAATAAAATTACATCTTGAGGCTGGGCCCAGAGGCCTCCATTTCGTGATAGACGTGGATATATCTGAAAGTCCTTCCAGACTCCCATGGGCCTTCACCCCAGGATGAAAGGGGATGGGAGGAGGAAGCACGGGCTGGTGGGCACAGAGAAAGGAAGACAAGGGGATGGGGCAGTAATTATTCTTACTCCTTCTTACCCTACATCCACTTCCCCCTCCCCATGTACAGGGATGCTTTTATAAATAGATGGCTTGGTTCTATTTCAAAACAGCAAATCTAACTTTATGGGGGAAAAAAACAAGACATGTAATTTAATAATATTTTATTGTCAACAGCATAACAGAAATTTAATATTGACCCTTAGGAGCAAGAAAAAAAGTTGAACCTATTTACAAGGAAGAGATGAGGATGAATTGTCACAAAATCTTCAGTAAATGTGCTCTTCTGATAGAGAATCAATGCATGAACTTGTAACATAGATAACTTATCAGATCAACTTTAAAAAGTATTTTTAATGCACGTAACTGACTAGCTATCTATGGTAATGAAACCCTCAGGCTTGGAAAAATATGTCAAATCAGGCTGAGCCCTTCAACAGCTTAGTTATATTTTCTACAGACGTCGGTTCCCTCCCCCACTGTCACATCAGACAAAGAGAGAAGTTCCTTCAACACTCATAAAATTCTTTATTGGCTACCGTGAGAGTCCCTGTGCTTTTTAAGGCCCTGGTTCTCAAACTTCCAAAACCTTGTTGAGTCAGTTCAAGCCCCAGCCCGCGTTCTGTCCCCAACCAAACGACCAGGTGGCCATTCTATCAAAAGTGAAAATGAACTGAGCGTTAGGTCTGAGCCTCCCCATGAGGGGCTGCCCGTCAGCTGCGCTCCGTCTGCAGTTCCTTAGCCAACGTTCCAAAGTCTCAAACCGTTCGGAAAACAAAGCTGGTTCACAAGGTGGCAGCCCAGCACTCACAGCAAAGCCTGACATTTAGGGGCCACTTAGAGTCTTTACCCACTTAGTATCAATGTTCTACATTTTATGCAGAAATATCAAGGGATGGACTTCTACAAAGGGTGTTCTTTCAGACTCTTTCTATGGACTTCCAAAATGGACCGTTTGTGCAACGTATTGTCTTTCTAAAGGTCTCAAAAGTCAGAGTTTGGAGAAAACGTTTGTCCCAAGGGGTTTGGCATAAAGATCTGTGGGCCCATAGCAGCCTGCACGTGTGCTCATATTCCTCCTGAAACCAGGAAGCTGCCCGACCCATGAACCACAGCTCCCTCCGTCTTTCGGGGAAGTGAGAATGTCTAGAACGTTCTGCATCCCAGTGAAGGAAGGCAGAACTCTGGGCATAACATCCTACAGATCCTCCGTATAGGAATTTCCTTTGTGAACGAGTCTCATTTCTGCCCATAACCCTAGACAGCGCGACAACTGATGAATGCACATTCCTTTCCATTCAAAGCATTGTCTCCGGCGGTGGGGAAGGGGCACAGAAGGCAACACTGGGAGCGAGGGCCTATCCGAGTGAGGGGTACATGTGACAACGCATCTCCGCGCTCTCCTCCAGCAACAGTAGCAATTTATCATATTTAGAAAGGGACTCTCTGGGTGCAGAGTTTGCAGAAAGGTCGGGGGAGGGGGGCTCAACCTGGGCTCTGCCACTTAAGGCGAACAGAACTTGCCAAAGAAAATGATGTTTCGAGTTTTGTTGTGCCTGACAATGTAAATGAATGGGTGGTCAGCCCTGAACTCATCCTTGTGTTGAAGGATGCGCGACCCCGGCACCTCTATGGAATCCCCACCATCTTCGGTGATCTCTAAGCACACTCGGTGAACGACATCCGACAGCGCCGCTCCCTTGGCTTCTGACATTCCAGAGAAGTCAGATGTGTTCGTGTCAAAGGCACTTTTCAGCCCCAGGTTCTCCAGGCTGGCCTTGGGATCGATCCTCTTTTCCACCTTAAACTTCGGGATGGAGAGTTTGACTTTGGCATTGGCCATGGTGCTGGGATTGGTCCACTGCAGAAGCGTCTCTGAGTTGAGTTGTTTTTCAACCTAAACGACAAAAAGGAGAGGGAAAAACATTTTTTTAGTTCCTATGGTAAAAGACCCTGCTTGGTGAGAAACATGTGTCAGGTGATCCCAGTTTCAAAGCAGTACAGATGGACCATCAAAAATGGAACAAGCCCTGGCCGGTTTTGCTCAGGGGTTAGAGCGTCGGCCCGTGGACCAGAGAGACCCGGGTTCAGTTCCCGCTAGGGGCACGTACCAAAAAACAAAAAAATCTCTCACCTAGCATTGGTCCCCATCCCACCTACAGCTGTGGTCCCTTTGCCCCGAAATGTATGAGGGCAGTTCTTAAACTATAGAGTATTTTATAGAAACAAATACATGGATTACAGTGTTGCCTAAAGAATAATGAAATAAATGCAAAATTAGAAGAATTTCACACATAACATTTCTCGAACGCTTCTTTGGATTCTCTACCAGGCAACCCGAATACTTGTACTGGGCATGACCTCAAATCCAATAGCTCACATAGAGCTGAGGTAAATTGTCTTAGAATGAGAATTGAACTGGCCATGATGTCTCTTTAAGAGAATAGGTAATGGATGAATGCATCCATTTCAGCTGGTTGTTGTTTTTTTTAAAAAAAAAGCGGGGGGGGGGGGGGACTAAAGAGATGCAGATATGAGATGGTGGGTGTGCTAATAAACTGAGTGGGAGGAACCCTTCTATAACTTATATGTTTATCAAATCATCCCGCTGTATGCTTTAAGTATTTTACAATTTTGTTTAATTATACCTCAACAAATCTGAAAAAAATAACAGCTTAGGTTCTTAACCTGTGTAAAATCTAAATATTCCTCTGTCATAACAGGAAACCTTCCTATCTGTACCGTCCAATACGTGGCCAATACAGTGGCCAATATGTGGCCAATACGTGGCTATGAAGCACTGAAATGTAACCAGTAAGGACTGAGAAATACTCTCCGTGTGAAATACACAACAGGTTTCCAAGCTTTAGTACAAAGGACATAGAACATCTCATTAATAATCTTTACAGCAATTGCATGTTGAAACGATAGTATTTTGGAAATACTGGGTTTGACAAAGTATTTTATTAAAAAATTTAAATGAGAGATAGAAAATGAAGCAGCAAATGGTTTTATCTTAAAATTCCTCGCTGAGCAAATCTTACCCAGCCCCTTTCGTTCTGCACTTTCATATGGAAAAGAACCAGGAGGTGCTGTAAGTGGAGGGGGGTGGGGCGGGAGGGACCAGAGGCTGGGAGCAGAGGAGCAGAGACAGGCTGAGCACTCAGGGGGCAGGGTGGGGACCCGAGCGTGATGATAGCCACGCTAAAAGGTAAGATGTGAACCAATCACATCAGCTCTAGAAAGTGAGGGAGTCACTGAAGTGTGACTGGAAATACAGCGGTGACCCCTGGGTCCTCAAAGATGCCCTCCTTCTCCCCGGGCAGGCTGAGGCCCAGGCAGAGGGGAGATGGGAGGCTGGTGGGAGGTGAGCAAGAACAGGGGCCCAGGACCAGGCTGACCAGCAGAGGGGACGCTCCGTCCTTCACAAGCAGGTCAAACCTCTCGTGTTCCAGTCCTGTGCCTCTGACAACCTGTATGAAATATGGCGCACCACAAAACCTCATACACGTGTGTATACGTGAAAAGAACTGTTCAAAGCGCATAGGATGCACAACACAGAGCGAACCCTAATGTAGACTGTGAACTTGAGTGGATAGTCATGCATCAATATTGGCTTATCAATTGTGTAACAAATGCACTGTGTTGATGCAAGATGCTAACGATCAGAAACTCTAGTCTAGAGTTAAGAACACGGATTCCAATTTCCTGGGTCAAATTCTGATTCTACAAACCACTGACGCGTCATGTGAGCATGGAGCAGGTACTGACCCCTGTGCCCCAGTTCCCTCGCTGGGAACGGCTGTGGGGAGAGTTCCCCACTCCTAGGCCAGTTGTGAGGATGGAGTGAGATAGTGCACACAGGGAATTTACAGTTCCGGGCACATTGTAAGTGCCGAAGAAATGTTGGCTGTTTTGAACAGTAAGGAGGAAGCCCAGAAACAACCACGAACCCTTGAAGACGGCAAAGCAAGTGAGGTACAAGGCGGGCTGCGGCCACGCGGCTCTGCCACGGCAGGGGGCACGTAGGTACTGCCCACCGCTCCTCCTCACCTTCTCCAGGCCTGTGGACTCGTCCTCCACGTCCTTGGGCAGCAGGATGAGCATGCTGAGGTGCTTGTTTTGAAAGGGGAGCTCTATGACCTTACAGTTGACACTGTCAATGTTGCCCATGCAGAAGGTGGCTTCCAGATTCATCATCTGCACTGGCTTGGTGTCCGTCTGCAACGAGAGGAGACCGCTGGACCGCTTGCTTTTTAGTTCACACAGCTATAGAGACATCCTTTCTCTCCCTCCACGAAAGAGGATGACTTATGCTTTCACATGCACACATACATATACACGCATGCACACACAAATACGCACACACACATCTATAGACATATATCCACATGCACGCACACACACACACATACATTAATTTACTCTCGTTATAATTTCATGAAACACCTCAAATATTTGTAAGAGGGGGAAATTAAGCTAATTAGGACTTTTTATTTTTAGGTTAGCAACACATAAATTTGTCTGGGGTGTGTGTGTGTGTGTGTGGTGTGTGTGTGGTATGTGTGGTGTGTGTGGTGTGTGTGCTGTGTGTGCTGTGGTGTGTTTGTGCTGTGCTGTGTGTGTGTATGGTGTGGGTATTTGTGGTGTCTGCAGTGTGTGTGGTGTGGTGTGTGTGGTGTGGTGTGTGTGTGGTGTGTGCAAGTGTGGTGTGTGTAGTGTGTATGTGTGTGGTGTGTGTGTGGTGTGCTGTGTGTGTATGGTGTGGGTGTTTGTGGTGTCTGCAGTGTGTGTGGTGTGGTGTGTGTGGTGTGGTGTGTGTGTGGTGTGTGCAAGTGTGGTGTGTGTAGTGTGTATGTGTGTGGTGTGTGTGTGCTGTGTGTGCTGTGGTGTGTGTGTGGTGTGCTGTGTGTGTATGGTGTGGGTGTTTGTGGTGTCTGCAGTGTGTGTGGTGTGGTGTGTGTGGTGTGGTGTGTGTGGTGTGTGCAAGTGTGGTGTGTGTAGTGTGTATGTGTGTGGTGTGTGTGTGCTGTATGTGCTGTGGTGTGTGTGTGTGGTGTGCTGTGTGTGTATGGTGTGGGTGTTTGTGGTGTCTGCAGTGTGTGTGGGGTGTGGTGTTTGTGGTGTGTGTAGTGTATGTGTGGTGTGGTGTGTGTATGTGGTGTGATGTGTGGTGTGGTGTGTGGTGTGTGTGTGGTGTGGTGTGTGTGTGGTGTATGCATGGTGTGTGTGTGTGGTGTGATGTGTGTGGTGTGTGTGTGTGTGGTGTGTGTGTGGTGTGTGCGTGGTGTGTGTGAACCTTTGTCAGAATAGGCACTATACTCAACTTTTAATAACAGAACTTCAACAATTTACTGTAGCCCCTGAAGGAGACACCACAGGACATGAAGAGAGTCTCGGTAAATTCACTCAGAAAGTTCAGGGGCTCACGAAAGCAATTCAAGGGAAACAGAGGAAAAGTATGACCTCTCCCTTATAAAGGAGGGTGTGTCCCCACACAGCTTTGAGTCACTGTTGCTTTGTTAGGCGAAACACTGAGAGACCGGCGACATTTCAAAGCCGTGGTTAAAACCCGAGGGCCTGCATGTGAGGAACAGACAGCAAAGACTCAGCCGTGTGCCTGGCATCTGTGCTCAGGGCCAGTCCTGCCCCGCCAGGAGGTTTGAGAAGTCGGGGGTGGGCGGCCCCCAAGACCCGTGGATATTGAGAAGGTAGGCGGCCCTCTCAGCAGGGACGGTCCCCTCCCAGTGGCAACGCCCAGCGGGTCTCGTGTAGGGACCCACCGTGGACCCAAAGGCCCATCAGGTTTTGTCTGCTATTGACTGTTTTTTCAAACTGACCCTTCGGGGTGGGTCACTCATTCAACCAACATTTGCTGAGCACCTGCTAAGGGACCGGGCCCTGGGCCAAGAGTTAGAAACCGAGATGAATGAGGCGCTCTCCCTGCCTTGACAAAGCACACACTCAGGAGGGATCAGCTAAATAAATAAATAATTAGATTTCAGTATGGAAAGCACATGGGGGTGGGGATGTGGGAATCAAAATAAAATTCTGTGGGTACAAAGAAGTGCCAAAGGCCAGTCCAGCTAACTCCGCTACGCCCTGGGGTGTAGCGTCAAGGAGGCGCTGTTACACGCGGCAGAAACGAAGTGGTGAATACTAGGTACTCAGAGTGCTGGCAGCAACTGGGAACCAGCGTGAACGCAGCTGCCAGGAAACTCCGCCCCCTGCAGGTGACCTGAAGCGTGGGATTCGGTCCACATTCTCAGCACAAGTCCCATCTTATCAGGAGAGACCGAATCGCATCATCACAGAGACTCCCGGGGTGGCCCAGGTCCCCTATGAAATGGGTCGGTTTTCCAGTCTCAGTTCTCTGGGTCCCTTTCTAGAAGAGGTCCTTCACCTAGTCACACGAATTCTTTTCCACACGGGATGTGACCACAGTATCCACTCAGTAGCGCTAGTGAGACTTCCCTGAGACCGGGTTCTCATCCTTCCCGGATGAGACGCCCGGAGAGCAGGTGGGTAAGCTGTGCTTTTTCCTGCACGACCAGCCCCTCACACATCACAGCAGCCGAGCCCTTTCCTTCCCACGAACAGACGAGAAACGGATCAGAGGGGTGTTACCCGGCACCAAGATGCTCAAGAGGCCCAGGTTTCAGGATGATTCGAAGGCTTCTGAGGTTAGGATTTGGCTGGTTGCTCTGCCTTTCTTGCCAACGGCCCCCAGTATGTGTAGCCAATTTCCAGTGGGCGACTCAGCCTTCCCCACTGGCTGGAAGCTCTCGCCACGCTCAGACTCTGGGGGAGAGTCTGGGTTTGGTCCTTTTTCTACCAGGGAAGCACCCCGCCCCGTGCCTTCACGTCCCTCCTGGGAGTGCATGCCTGCGGTCCCTTCCATCGCCGTCACTCCCAGATCGATAGGTGGGGCCCTTGCAGACGCCGCCCCGCATACCTTGTTGACTCGGAAAGCGCACTCTTTGGTTTCCGATTCGGGAAATTTCTTCATCCACTTTCCAACGAAGTAGGCAGCATTCACCACGAGGATTTTGGTCTGGTCATTCACATTGTTGTCGGATAAAATGTCCTCAAAGTGGCCTGTAAACAGTGTCAGGAAACCACAGATCACACAGGGTGAATCTTCCCAACCACGCCTGCTGTGCACACGCCCGTCGCGCACACGCCTACCCACACCTGCGAGTGAGCACCTGCCGGAGTCACACCAGGGGTGAGAGCCAGGCCGCCTCCTTCGGAAGGACTCCTTGTCTCCTGGCATCTCGCCACCCCGCACGCACCAGACACCTGGGGAGCAGAAGGAGGGGGAAGGAGGGAAAGAAAGGCCAGGAGGAGGAAGAAAGACAAGCTCCCACGCGCCTCCTGTGCCGGACCGTGTGCCGGACCTTCGTGTACTCGCTAACACGTATTCTCCATGTATACAGATGAGGAAGCAGAGGCTGTGCAAAGTCACCTGCCCGAGATGACACACGAGCAAAGGTGGATTCGGGGCTGGAGGCCTGTGCTCTGGAGCGAACACGCGTGATGTGCTCGGCATTTGCACGTGTATCTGCTCTCAGTGATCCTGTATCGAAGGTCATTGTCGCCACTGCACAGTAGAGGAAGAAACGGGCTCAGAGAGGTCAAGTAGCCCTCTAGCTCACTCCGCGGGAAAACAGCTCTGAACCGGGACAGCACACCCCTGTCCGCCCGCCGCGCTCCACCCCTCCCCACGCTGCGGCCAGCGTGCACCCAGGTGACCCGCCTGTCACAGCTGCGATCACCACGGAGCTGGACCCCAACAGCAGAACAGCGCAGGGGGTGTCAACCCCCCCACGAAATTAAGTCCTCAGGTTTGAATAGCACTGACGTTTTTTGCAAAGGATTTTTGTTGACCTAACTTCAGGGGCCTGTGACCTGTGTGTGACCTGGTTTAATGCTTCGCTGTCGCCATCTAAACGTCAGTGAAGACGGCGGGTAGGTAAACGCGGTATCGCGTCCTCCCACAACCACATCAAAGTTACAACTAAACTACAGAACAACCATCCTTCAGAACTGCCTGGCATCAAGCTGAATGGAAGTCCTACAACTACGGGATTAAAGCAGCAGCCACACCAAGACTGGTAGGAGGACAGAGGGGACGGGCTGGTCCCACACCCAGGTGTGGCAGATAAAAATCAGGAGGACACCTCGGCGGGAAGGTCCTTCCTGGGGACTGAGGGGTCCCCGTCCCACACCAGGTGCCCCGCTCAGGGTCCCAGTGCCAGGAAGAGAATCCCCATCATTTCTGGCTGGAAAAACCAGTGGGAACTGAGGCTCAGAGAAACTCAGGTGGCTGGAGCCCCAGGCAGCTCCTTAAAGGGCCCGCGCACGGACTTATCTGACTCTCTCCCTCTGAGCTTGGAGGGGAGGCAGCTCGAGGGGCGCCAGAGACACACAGGGAAGAACTGAGCTGTTTGCACTGGAGCAAGGGCTGGATAGGGGGCTTTCTCCGGGACAAACATTCTGTCAGAGGCCTTTGTTCCCTTGGTGAGCCCTTGCCTGGGGCGGCAGACAGCCACCTCATCTGGGACTCCAGCAACCTGGCTCACACTGTTTGCCCCGCCCTGGTGATTCCCTGAGGCCCCGCCCCACCCAACTTTCAGGCCCACCCAAGCTGTTACCAGTTGCTTAACCATAGGATTGGCCTGGCTTGAATCAGGTTTTCCTAAATTCTTTCAAACAAGCAGCATCTGGTCTCAGCTAGCCCCATACCTCTCATTAAGTAATACATAGAAACAAACACAGGGAGGCAGCCAAAAAGAGGAGATAAAGAAACAGGTCCCAAATGAAAGAATAGAACAAAACCCCAAGAAAAAAACTAAGCAAAACAAAGATAAGCAACCTAACAGGTGTTGAGTTCAAAATACTGTTTATAAGGATGCTCAATGGACTTAGTGAGAACCTCAGTGAACCTAGTGAGGGCCTCAAGAGCATAAAATTAGACCAGTTAGAAATGAAGGAGGCACTAACTGAAATAAAGAATAATTTACAGGAAATCAATAGCAGAGTAGGTAAAGCCAAGAAGCAAACCATTGATTTGGAATATAAGGAAGCAAAAAATACCCAATCAGAACAGCAAAAAGAAAAAAGAATTCAAAAAACTTAGAATAGTGTAAGGAGCCTCTGGGACAACTTCAAGCGTGCCAACATTCATAACTTGGGGGTGCCAGAAGGAGAAGAGAGAGAACAAGAAATTGAAAACCTATTTGAAACGATAATGGCAGAAAACTTCCCTAACTTGGTGAAGGAAACAGACATACAAGTCCAGGAAGCACAGAGAGTCCCAAACAAGATGAACCCCAAGAGGCCCACACCAAGAGACATCATCATCAAAATGCAGCCCTGGCCGGTTTGGCTCAGCGGTTGGAGCATCGGCCTGCGGTCCAGAGAGTCCGGGGTTCAGTTCCCGCTAGGGGCACGTACCAAAAAAAAAAAAAAAATGCAAAAGGTTCAAGACAAAGAAAGAATCTTAAAAGCAGCAAGAGAAAAGCAGTTACCTACAAGGGTGTTCCCATAAGACTGTCAGCTGATTTCTCAAAAGAAACTTTGCAGGCCAGAAGGGAGTGGCAAGAAATATTCAGAGTGATGAAAACCAAGAACCTACAACCAAGATTACTCTATCCTGCAAAGCTGTCATTTAGAATCGATGGCCATATAAAAACTTTCCCAGACAAGAAAAAGTTAAAGGAGTTCATCACCACCAAACCATTATTATATGAAGTGATGAAGGGTCTTTTTGAAGAAAAAGATAAAATATATGAACAAACAAAATGGCAATGAATACATATCTATAGACAACTGAATCTACAAACAAAATGAACAGGCAGAACAGAAACATTCTCATAGATACAGAGAACATTGTGTTAGTTGCCAGATGGAAGGGAGGTTGGAGGAATGGATGAAAAAGGTGAAGGGATTAAGAAGTACAAATTGGTTGCTAAACTGACAAACCTCAAAGGGAAGGGGGTTGGGAGGTGGGAAGAAATAAACCCAAGAACTTATATGCATAACCAATGGGCACAGACAACAGTGTGGGGAAAAGGCAGGAGGGAGCGGGAGTGGGGAGGAGGGGGTCAATGGGAGGAAAATGAGGAACATCTGTAATACATTCAACAATAAAGATTTTTTTAAAAAGGACTAAACGTTAGTACATGTTTAAGGAGGGGGCCCTGCAGCTTCAGCTTCGCATTGCACCGGGACCCGCACACCAGGTGGCCGCTGCCAGGGCGGGAGCCGCTGACTGTGCAGTCGGTCGTTGAGGAACCCGCAGGCCAGGCAAGTGGGCGGGCTGGGAGGGGCCGAGTTCAACTGAAGCCTCGACTCCCGCCTGCACTTCAGAGGTCTTTTCACTGAACTAGCTTCCCCGGTTGTAACCTAAAATTTATGAAGATGTTATTTTGTTAAATAAGTTTTTAAGTTTTTTGTTTGTTTTTTTTTATCCTCACCCGAGGATATTTTTCCATTTTTGTACAGATAGAGTGGGAAGGAGAGAGAGGAAGGGAGAGAGAGAGAGAAACATCGACGTGAAGGGACACATCGAGTGGTTGCCACCCGCACGACCAACCAGGGCCGGGGACAAACTGCCACCGAGGTACGTGCCCTTAGCGGGAACCGAACCCGGGTCTCTCCAGACCGCAGGCCGATGCTCTAACCGCTGAGCCAAACTGGCCAGAGCAAGTTTTTACTGAATTTTTTAGAGACAGAGGAAGGGAGAGGGAGATAGAAACATTGATGGGAGAGAGAACCATCAATCGGCCGCCTCCTGCACGCCCCCTACCTGGATGAGCCCGAAACCGGGCATGTGCCCTGACTGCGAATCAGACCGGAACCTCTCAGTCCATGGGACCATGCTCAATCCACTGCGCCACATCGGCCAGGCTAAAACTTACAAACATTTTAAAACAAAGGCCCTTAGAGGGAAAATACTGTTATTTAAAAATTCTAAAAGCAAAACTGTTACATAGCAATTTATACAGGAGCTTCTTTTTGCTTATAATTGGGTTTAACCTGTTAGAGCAGTTTTTGTTGCTTTATTTCAGTAACAAATATATATGTGTGTGTGTGTGTGTGTGCGCGCGCATACGTATCTGAGTACATCTATTATCTTGTCCATCATACATTATTGATTAGCACATATTATCTAACTTCCTCCTTACAACAACCACGTGGAAAGCAAATTAGGTAGCATATGCCCCTTTCACAGTTCAGTACATTGAGGCTCTGCATCCGAACACCTCACTTAACAAGTGGCGGTGCACGGGTTTGAATCTGAGGTCTTGAAGACTCCAAGGCCACGATTTTCCATGTCCTCCTCGGTTATGGAGTGGACACTATCATTCCTGAGCCCTCACAGTGACAGGGCGGCTCTGGCCACTCCTACGGGAAGGATGTGTCTCTGCCCCAGGGCGTACCCCTCAGCAGAAGGCAGAGGTGCCTGAAAAATCCATCACTACTGTTCCCGTCTTCACAATTCGGTGCTGTGTCCCAACAAGTCCCCTCCTGCGTAAATATAAGTATGTTCCTGGGAACAGGGACATGGACACTGACCTGCTCTCAAAATCATCTGACTTCCAACTCTTCTCTAGCAAGGACAACTCGCAGAATGTGAATGGAGGGAGCACTCGGGGGAAGGGGAGGCCGGGGGAAGCTCTGAGCCAGAGGCCGGACCGGGCAGACGCTGCGGAAGAGGCCAGGGGCTGTCCGAGGGCCGGCTGGCCGGGAGGCTACAGGGCTGAGGACACGTTTCCGTCCATTACTGTTTGTTTTCTTTTCTTTCTATTCGTATATTTGATTGCCTAAGACTCTCTATCCCCCTTTTAGTAATAAACGTGTAAAATGTTTGAGCTAAAAGTGGCCTCGGGGATCATCAAGTTACAGTCTCAGCCCTTCGTGTCCAGATTGAAAAACTGGACTTGAGACGGGCCCAAAGCCATGCTTGTTAGCAGCACAGCAGAGGCCCCAGGAGCGCGCGGGGGGCTCGCTGGGGGGGCGAGGCACGTGGACCAGACACACCCGAGCACCCGGCTTCTCTGCCCAGCGAGAGGGTGATGGAGGAAAGGTCTAGAAATGACTCAATGTGCAAGAATTTCACTGCTGTACTGAAAACATCTCAGGAATCCTCTAGCTGCTCAGTTTTTCGCTTGGCAGGAAGATTCGCGTGCATAAGTGAGCAGACTAGGTGAAGATACTTGCCATCTGTGAGATCCTTAATGGAGCTGTTGATCTGACCTTTGGTCTCTTCCAGCTTATCTTTGAAGTCAACCGTTTCCAGCTCCTTGGCGTAGGGTCTCTTCGTGGAGCCGACGAACTCCTGAAAGCATCCAGGTCACAAAGTCACAAAGTGCGTCCAGTCTGTAGTCCCACCGTCAGGTTGCTTCGTGGTTCTAACAGGACTTTTACGCATCTATTGTTATGAATGCACTTTCAAAATCTGAACTCGGTGGCGAATTGAAACCTATGGTGAAACATGTCACTGGTAGTCTACCCTTTCGATTTAGAAAGCTTAAAATACCGCCCACCCAAGCACAGATTAAATCCACTCTGTGTTACTAACGGAGACAATGAACTTCTGCGTAGTCTAGGATGTCGCTATGTGCTTCAAATACAGATTTTTTTTAATATTATGTTACACTCTGGGATCAAAGTTAAGGGCACCACAATGTTCTTTATATGATTCCTTCAAGAAATGGCTGGAATTAAACACCCAGAACTAACTGTTTAGACACCCTCGTGCCCAGTCTAGCAAAACGAACGAAAACAATTCCTGACTGATGAACACTGGTGATTCATACGGTTATTATTTTTCCTATTGATGTTGAGAAAACTAAGAGAACGCCGTGTGCATGAACGATGAGGTTGTCCCCGGCCTTGGCCCCTGCTGTTGAAGGAGAAACGGGTGAAGGCTGAGCTCTCCTGCACCCTCGGAGACACGCTAGTAGCCTCTCCATCCTGTTCCTCTGAATGAGGAAGCTACGAGGAGGAGGATGTTCGAGAGTTTGAGGGGGAACAGGGAGGACCACAAACTCCTCCGTGTTTTGAACTAGATGTGACTGCAACCCAATCCTGCTATATTCACCCGCTCTGCTAGGACTGGTTGGCTTTAATTAGCCTCTAATCATAAACAAGCATTCTAGAAGTGAGTTTTAGTGGGAAAAACAAAAGCTATGAGTATGACCATGTGACAATGCCAACCCCGGGGGAAAGTTAAGTCTTGTTAATGGAATTCAACCACTTACTGCGGAAGGGTTCAGAGATTTGTCTACATAGAGCCGCTTGATCAGTTTCAGCGAGTAGAAGGAACTCAGTTTGTTTACGTCCGACGTTACTGTCTGAAATCCAAAGGGCACGTCTTTGACGTTTTCAAAGTGAAGGACCTGTGAAGTCAGAGAACAGCCGTGACCTACGAAGCATGTGTCTTCCCAGTGCGGTGGACTTGGAATCGGACCTGGCCCGAGGGGTGCAGTCCTCCCCGCTCCGTTGTCCCGTGGAGCAAGGCCTCTCAACCTACACGCTGACGTTTCGGGCAGGGTGCTCTGTTGCTGGGGTGGAGGTGGGGGGTGCTATCCTGGGTATTGCAGGGTGCCCAGCAGCATCTCCGACCTACCTGGTACGATTTGTGGCGACCAAAAATGTCTGTGGACACTGCTAAATGTCCTCAGGAAGTGGAGCGGGGATTGTCCCCACTGAGAGACACTGCCACAAAGATACTCTTCTCTGCACTTGAGTATATAAAAAATTTGCCCTTTTTTAATTTTTTTCTAAAATGATGCCTCTGATGGTCCTACAGAAGCTTTCCAAACTTGGAGAAGGGTGAAGCTGGGTTACAATTTCCATCCAATTTAGACACAAGAAGAGAGAGATTAATAGCAAAAGAGACCATCGTTAGGCAGGTATCAGATTCAGGTTAGAGGTGTCTCCAGCCAGGGTCTATCTAATCCCTTCAGTTCCTCTGACAAGCGCCAGGTGGGCTGATGTGTAATTCACGGGGGTAGCAGCTACCCTAGCGGCGGGCTGCCCTGAGTGGGCGCGAGTCAGGCGACCTGGCTTTGCGCCCCAGCGCGTATCCTGCAGAAATACAACCTGGTTTCACTTTTCTCTCTGTAACCTGGACTGGGAACACCTGCTCTTCTGAGTTGTGATGAGGATTACAGACATTCTAGGTAAAACACCTAAAACATCAGATGAATTCGAAATGTTAATAATTATTCTTTCAGTGATATTCTAAGCCGTTTAAAACGAGGATGTCCTCTTCAGGAGGGCGTAATCCTGTTAGTCCGTTCCTAACTTTTCTCCTGGCCTCACGGAGCTTGGTACTGATGTCAGCACAAAGCGATTCTCGCCCCTCCCCCAGCCCACCTGGAGGCCACACCTCTGCGCCTGGAGGCCACACCTCAGGTGACGTCACCAAGCGGGCTCACTGAGCCCCTGAGTCCCACAGCCTCGGTATTGCAGGGTCACATGGGCTGGGGCAAAGCCACGTGTACCTCTCAGCCTGCTGACAGGTGAAGGGACCAGGAAATGCAAGAACCCAGGAAAGTCCTGCTGGGGGAACAATTACGTGTACGTGACCCTTACTGTTATTACTATTGAGGGGCAGACTCTCTCCCAGGAAGTCGTCTTTTCTGTCCCCCATCTAGTGGGAGATGAGAAACGAGGTAGCGGAGAGGGGTAGGGACTAGGGGTGGGGCTGACAGAGCAGGGTGGGTGAGAACACACAGCTCCTCTTCCCACAGCTGACGGTTCTCCTTCACGTGCCCTCAAGTTCAAGTGTGCGCTCTTCACTTATCACGACCCAGAGAACCCGTCGCGGCTCACGCTCTCTGGGGATTTATAGATGCAAGAAGATGCTCCCTTTTTAAACGCTAGGAGCTCACGGAAAGAACGATGCTGTTGAACCTGGGAAGATCAACGCAAGACTCAGGGTGGATGGAGTGGGGAGAGCATTCACATACTTTCTAAAAGTAAAGGGGGGTGGGGTGGGCGAAACGGGTGGAGGGGGTAGAAAGGTACACACTTCCGGTTATGAAATAAGGCCTGGGGATGCAATTTATAGCATGATAACTACAGTTAATAATACTTGTTGTTTTGCGTTTTTTTAATCCTCACCTGAGGACATTCTTGCATTTATCTTCAGATAGAGCGGAAAGGAGAGAGTGAGTAAGAGAGAGAGAGAAACATTGATGTGAGACACATCGACTGGCTACCACCTGCACGACCCCAACCGGGGTTGGGGACAAATTGCAACCGAGGTGTGTGCCCTTAGCAGGAACCAAACCCGGGACTCTCTGGTCCATGGGCCGAGGCTCTAACTGCTGAACCAAACCAGCCAGGGCCTTGTTGCAGATTTGAAAGTTAAGAGAGTAGATCTTAAAACTTCTCATCACAAGAAAAAGAAATTCTGTAACTATGTACGATGACAGATGCAAACTAGACTTACTGTGGTGATCATTTTGTAATATGTACACTTATCAAGACATTATGTTGTATACCTGAAACAAATATAATGTTGAATGTTCATTATACCGCAATAAAAACTCATGAAGATGATGCTGTATGTACGTGTAGTGCACAAGGCAGGGCTGTAGATTTATACTCTTTCTGGCCGGAGTGTTTGCAGTGGAACATTTCTTAAACACCCCTGGATTGACTCTTCCAGGGTAACACGGGGAAATATGCCGGCTGGCTGGCTAAGGGTCACTCATGAGTGGAGAGCTTGTGATTCCTGAGCAGAGCCCCAGGTTCTCCATCACACATGGTGTCTGGGTTGCAGGGCAGATAAATGAACTTTCTTTCACATTTAGAAACAGACTGAGAGAGTGTTAGAAGTGGCACGACTCTCGATCCTGAGCACCTCTGGCCACACAGGCCCCTTCATCCTCCCTTAACATCGCCCACAGGTTCGGATGCTCTGTCCCGCTCCAGGCAGAAACAAGTGCGGGGCTTACCTGTCCCAGTTCACTGGCTGTGTCACCTTTGGCTCCGACTTGAACAAGTGACAGAGAGGTGGACAGACAGATGGGAGAGAAGAGGACATTGCCGGCTGGCTCCTTTTCGCACAGTTTCTTGAACAGGTCAACTGCAAAGGCAGAGTTTGCAAGTCGCAGGGCGTCCATCGTGGTCCTGCAACAAAGCACAAGGGTCCTTAAGGTCTGCTCACCCGCATTCTGCCCACCAGGGAAGAAGTCCATGGAGACAGGCGATGGTCTCGGGTAGAAGAGAGGAAGGAACTGTGCACCAAATGCAATGTAAAGAACCAGTGAGGAGCCCCGGCCGGTTTGGCTCAGCGGTTAGAGCGTCGGCCCACGGACCGGAGAGACCCGGGTTCGGGTCCCGCTAAGGGCATGTACCTCGGTTGCAGTTTGTCCCTGGCCCAGGCTGGGGTGGCAGCCACTTGATGTGTCTCTCTCACATCGCTGTTTCTCTCCTCTCTCTCTTCCTCCCTCTCTCCCTTCTGCTCTGTCTGAAGATAAATGCAAAAATGTCCTCAGGTGAGGATGAAAAATAAAAAGAACCAGTAAGGAAAAAAATTCTGATCAAATGTCCTCAGGTCTGAACGGTCCAGCATGCCAGGTCCTCAGTGGGTACAGCTCTGGCCGAATCATCAAATCCAGGCGTACTCGGCCACAATGGCCATTGTCAGGACCCCGGGGAGCACACCTCTTCCTTAGCAAGTGGTCAAAGCCGCCGGCAGCCCCGATCAGAATCCACTGGTTTTATTTATGCACAGTGTTTCCATTCGGATTTGGGTTCAAGCATTCAAAACTGACATTTCCATGCCTCAAAAACCAGTCAACTCACAGCAGTTTTGTGTGGTTCAGTCTAATAATTAGTTAAGAGTTACGGGTTGAATTTGTGTCCCCCCAAAAGATATGTTTGAATCCCACCCCTGGGGACCAGTGAATGGGACCTTATGCAGAAACAGGGTCTTTGCAGATTTCATCAGGGTGAGGTCACTGGGGTTGCTCTAACCCAACATGACAGGTGTCCTTATCAGAGAGAGCGGGAGACAGAGACAGACTGCATGGAGAGAAGATGACAGTGAAGACACACGTGATGACCGGCAGACTTTGGAGTGAGGTTTCCACAAGCCAAGGATCACGGGCAACCCAGAAGCTAAGAGAGGCAAGAAACAGCATCTCCTCCGGGGCTCACAGAGGGTGCACGGCCCTGCTGCGACCTCGATTTCAGGTTCTGGCCTCCGGAACCGTGGGGAGTGCATTTCCACTGTTAAGTCGCCCGGTTCGTACCAGTTGCTAAGGCAGCGCTGGGGGCCAGCGGAGTGGGTTCTGCCTCTGCCGGCGCCCGGCACACGGCGATACTGAATGCAGAGCGGTTGTTGTTTTCCATGTTAATACATGTTGGAAGACCCTGTACACGGTATTATAAGGACCAGTCAAGTCCCTTCTTCTCTGAGTTTGCAAACTCTCTGGGCAGATATGCAGAAAAGAAGTGAACCAGCAAGCACTGTGGAGTTAAAGGAAAGAGAGGGCAGCGTCGGCTGAAAACAGGGAAGCTGGTTAAGTGGAAAGAGCACGGGTGGGCCTCAGCCTGTCTGAGAACTCTCCCCCTGATGCGGGGCCTCGAGGTGCTGGCCTGGACCCCCCTCGCCCTTGCAGGGGGCCGTGAGGTCAACTATTTTCATAAGGATACTCAGACATGAGGATGCTCAGACATGAGGATGTTCAGACATGAGGATGCTCAGACATGAGGATGCTCAGACATCAGGATGCTCAGACATGAGGATGCTCAGACATCAGGATGCTCAGACATCAGGATGCTCAGACATGAGGATGCTCAGACATGAGGATGCTCAGACATCAGGATGCTCAGACATGAGGATGCTCAGACATGAGGATGCTCAGACATGAGGATGTTCAGACATGAGGATGCTCAGACATCAGGATGCTCAGACATGAGGATGCTCAGACATGAGGATGCTCAGACATGAGGATGCTCAGACATGAGGATGCTCAGACATGAGGATACTCAGACACCATCTGCCCCTTCACTCTCCACCTCTCACAAATACAGGGGCAATTTCCCAAGGCTGCGGTGTGGCTCTAGCAAACCAAATAGTCCAGAGATCTGCGGAAATGGAAGAGTGCTCCTCTTGGGGGTTCATTGGGGAAAAGGGGGGCATCTGTAATATATTCAACGACAAAAAAAGAAAGTGCTTCTCTTCTCCCTACATGGTTTTACTTAAGAAAACAGTTATTTTTTCATAAAAACACGTTATCCGTGCTAATGTGTAATGGCAACATGATTATTTTAAAAAATTAGTAAAATAAACATTTCAAATTAGTAAATAACTATTCACTAAAAGGTAATGATAACCGTATTATTTTAATTAATTAGTAGATAAATTTTTCAAACTTTTTCCAGTTTTTTTTCTTTTTATTGATTTTAGAGAGAGAAGAAGGGGGAGGGAGAGAGAGAGATGGAAACATGGACTGGCCGCCTCCTGCATGCCCCCCACTGGGGATCGGGCCCACAACCTGGGCATGTGCCCTGACCGGGAATCAAACCGGCGACCTCTTGGTGCACAGGTCGACGCTCAACCACTGAGCCACAATGGCTGGGCTCCAGTTTTAATTTCTAATTTGGTAAATACTGATTGATATTACTGACATTTTTTTATAAACAAAATAAAAAGATCCTCGGTCATTTGAAATGTAAAGGGGTCCTGAGATATCTAAAGCTTGAGAACTGCTTTTCTAACGAAAGTCCCACCGATCTGGGGCTGCAGTTAGCGACCAAGTTGAAGGGGCTGGGAGAACTTGAGCAGTCAGGGCACAGCTCTTTCTAGAAGCCCAGCTGAGCTGCAGGGACTGTCCAGGCTCTGCCTGGACAGGGAAGCACATTCCTAAGGAAGACAGATTGACAGTAACACCCCGAGTGACCGGCGCATGGATGAAGGCGCGTGGCTTCCCCCCAGGGCAGCCCGGTCTGTGCAGTCACGTGCACAGAGCGGAGAGTGAACTTGACCTTGACGGTCATCAGGTGAGACATGCTCCCCGGTATCAGATGAAGCGTCACCACTCAGGACAGCGTACTTCCTTCAACCAGGACCCAAGGACGTGTTAGGGTCAGATGCATGAATTGAATCTCAATTTTGCACCTTACCCTTGAACACATTCAAAATGTGGAGATGTGAGAATAAAATCAAGGAATGAGCCCCTAGTCTTCAAATATTTCTTCAGAATTCTTTCTTCTATGGGACATAGGGCTTGTGTGTAGGATGGACTCATAAGATTACACTATATGTTGGTGTCTGGAAAAGCAAGTTCATTGACTTTATGTCCCTGACACGCACAGTAGGTGAACTCAAGTCAGTGTTCTCGTTACAATCCTGTTACAAGGGAACCTCAAGTCAGGGTGGGACCTCACACTTTTCTGAGGCCCACAACCTATTCTTTCTTGTGGGGTGGGGTAAGGAGCCGAGAGACAGCTGTGCTCCCCGGCGCCGGGACCGACATGGGGTGTACGGAGGGCAATGAGCAGAAATGGGAGCCACGAAGAAATAAACAGGAAGTTCACGAAAGATTTGGGGAGTCCTTTCCGCAGCAGCAAATTTAACATTGATAATGCTGAGTTTGTCTACAACTAAAACAGCATGAGCTCTCTCTCCACCAACCTGAACAGCCTAACGGAGCTGGTTCTGCACCAAAGGGAGAAGCCTCCACTCAGATCCCTGCAAACCTCTCTAGGCTTCAACAACCTGATTGCTGGGATTCCAACCATCAACAATGCATTTACTACCCTCCAAGAAGAGCGAGTCGAATAGTTTTGCATAATCGATAACAAACTTTACTTTTAAAGTTTGGCTTCCTTTGTGTAGAAAACCTGTGTTTAAGACTTCGGAGTAATCTGCTGAGGGGGTTTGATCGGGAACTCCTCAAGTGTATCAAAAGGTAAGGAAATGTTCATGTTCCCGCTGAAGCATTATTCTCTCACTCATTATATCATTTTGAGATACATTTCGTCTAAGCTCTATTTAAATGCAAGCTCCCGGTGGCTGTAGTACATGAAGCACACAACATAGTTAACACTGTGTTGCAATTCAAGGCTCAGATTCGGTCCCGTGAGTGGCAGACCCTCCTTTCAGAGTCGCTTCCTTTGCATGACAGTCCTCAGTGCATGAGTCCAACAGCCTGCCTTCCCATCCATGTGCTGACTCTCTCCTTTCTCAGAAAATTCTCCTTCAGGTGGAGGAAGGTCAAGCAGCCTTTAATAGCTGAGGTCCCAGCGACAACAACAGTGTGTTGGTTTGATGCTTGACAAAGGTATCAGGAAAGGTCTGGACATGGAAATCGCTGTAGGAGCAAATGATCACCAGCTAAGTGATCGATCAGATATTGCCTGATAAATCTGATCAGTCGCCCAGTGATTGATCCCAAGTGACCCAAAAACGCTGCAAAGCTTATCTAGGCTAAGGTAGTTCAAAGGATGACTTGGGCCACAGCCGGTGGCCACCTCCCACGCTGCAAGGCAAGCATAGCATTTAAACAGAGCTTAGCAATGTGAGCAACACACACAGGAAAAAGCATCGGGTTTCTACCTGGACCACTTTAGTAGCAAATGCTATAAAAATGATCGGTAGAAGAGTAGACATGAGCAAGAGCTACAGAGTACATTTACATATCCAACAACTTCTGTTCAGAGTTCTAAATCGCCCCAGATGTCCTTCATTTTATTATCACTTTACTAGAGATAACTTATTTGGTCTTCATGAAAACCTTCGAATGATTATGACAAATAAAGAGAATTTTGTTTTCAGCTCCAACGTAGAAAACACCGCATGGTTTTGGTCACTTAAAAGTTGAAAAGGCTCTTTTTTTGTTTTTCAGCCCGAGAAACACGAGATGGAAATTAAGTAGTAATACACGTGCCACGAAAGGAGCAACAGAGGCTAGGAGAATTTATCACTCAGCTGCCTGGTTTTTGCAATATGTCCTAAAAGCATAAACCTTTCAAGTGGAACAGGATCTTGGCAGGGATCTAGTCTGGCTCCATCGCTGCATTTTACAGATGGGAAAAGTGAGATGAACAGTGATGAAGTAAGTGATTCTCCAGGCCTCCCACGCAGGGAGTGAGAGTGGTAGAACCAGCCCTGGCGTCCACCTCTCCCAGCACCCAGCCCGGTGCACCCAACCACACCTCACCTTCTTCCTCCGCGGCTGTGTCTTCACTGAAGTTTTTTCTCTCACAAGTCTCCAGGAGTTCCAAAACTCCCACGTGTCCTACATAGTTGGCATGTATTTTTTTTTTTTAATCAACACAAACGTTTCTCTCTTATTCTCCTCCCTGAAGAATCTCTGGCTCTTTTTCCACCACCAAGGTTGCAAGTTATGAACGCTCTGTTGCTTTCCTTCAGTGAGCGCTCCCTGAGCACCGGACATCAGGCACTGAGTCACGCGCGAAGACGTCAGAGGTGAGCCCGACACGGGCCCTCCCTCCACGGAGGCCTCAGCCTAGTGCCAGGATGTGTATAATGAGTCGTGGGCATTTTCACGGGAGGCACAAGTTGCCACGGGAACCCTTAGGAGCGAGACCTTACTTCTCGTAGAAATCTCAGTGAAGTCACCTCAGAGACAGTGACGTCTAAGTAAGTCACACTAACGGGGGTCCCTAAGACAAGGGGGGGTTAGCTGTGCAGGAGAATGCGGGCCGCAGAGAGCGGACTCAATCAGGGGCTGACTCGATCGCAGGTGAGCGGAGGGACCTGCACCAGAGCGCGGGGAGGGCCAGGCGGCCGGCTTCTCCAGACTCCGGCTGGTCACGGGCCCCTGCAGAGAGGCTCCAAGTCTCTAGTGCATCTCAGCCCCTGCCCCTCAAACCTGTTGCCTGCAGGCCGCTTGGGTGAGATGAGATGCCATATGGACAGGTTGACCATATGTCCCGCTTTGCCTGGGACAGTCCTGGCTCACATTTGTTGTCCTGACATTTCCCCCTTCCTTCTCCACCGTGTTGTGTGTTGAACAATGTATGTTCTGCCCACCTGTAGCCCATCCACCACACCCTCTACACACGTGTACGCGCAGGCACACACGCAGCCGGGTGCGGCTTTCTCCTTACACGCCTTCCGCTGTGTCCGGTGACTGCGGTTACCATCCACCCTAACCTGCCTGGTGGGACAGAGGAAGGAAAACGCGGTGAAAAAAATCTTAAGCACTTGGTGTGGTCAGTCCTTAGGCAGTGGCCTTGAGAGGCTTTGCCCGCTAGCATAAGTGCCACGGAAGGCCTGAAAATACAGCCGGGCTGTCCCCAGTCTCACTTCGAGGGGGACAAAACCCGGGCCAGGTTAGGAAACGTGCGTTGTGAAAGAACATCGGGATCGAATGAAGTGACGGAAGGAGGAGCATCTGAGAAGACCGCCGTCCTCAGAAAAGCACCACGATGCTGTCGGCAGTAAGGGCCGCGCCCCATGTTCAACGGCAAGGGAGCCTGCGCTTTGCTCCAATAGTCCTCGGCGTCACATCTGCTCCTGTCCCTTCAGAAGCCCGATCTGGACCACGGAGCCATCCCACGGCTGCCGACCAGCAGAGCAGGGCCAGCCTGGCCACGCCAGTACGACCACAGTTGCTGAGGCTGCAACCTCCGAGCCAACCCACCACCGGAGGGACTGAAGTGGCGGAATTCAAGGCGGTGAGCAGCGGAGAGCAGCCCTGCTGAGTCATCCTCTGGGAGACTCCTTTCTTCAGGCAGCGTCCCGTCCACCCCTCCACCCATCCAGGAGCCCAGCCCTCCTTCACCTCCCGGCGGGGACTGAGCTTTGAGGCCCACCTCATTCTCTTCAAAACCTTTAGAGCGACGTGGGGGCTGACAGGCTGTTAAGAATTCCCTTGGTGTCGTGGAAACACCCGAAAGCAGTGAGTTTGAGGCGGGAATTCTACTGCCCTGGCCACTGAAAAGCGGGGTGACTTGGAACACCACGTCACCTCTGCGAGCTGCAGCCCCTACTCGGCAGAATGAGGGGCTGAGATGACACAGGTCTAAGACCCCTCAGCTCTGAATCCACACCTGTTGAGTTGATCTCCAACCCGCTGAAGCCATAACAGCGGTAGCTAGCAACTATAAAAAAAGAAACTCAGTAGCAACCATATAAAGGAACTGCGGGCCAACTTGTTTGCAAAGTTGCCCAAGAATACATATCTGAAATCTGTCACTTGTTTCGAGTATCCTAAAACCCAGAAGCTGGGAGGGAGGATACTTTCTGCCCAAAAGAATGCAGTTTCAAGTAAATGAAAACTGACTACTGACTTGATGCTTTAAAATGCCAAAAAGAAGAGCAATTTTGAAGTCTGAATCTCAAGCACACAAAACTAACCAGGGAGGTGAGCCAGACACTCACTCACTGCATTGCCACTTTCTCCAAGTTTTGAGCACCAAGCCCTTTCTGAAATAAACATTGCAAAATGCATTCTTAATCCCGACATCCTGCTAAAAGTGTGCCCAGAAAAACTTTCTCCTCTGGCCGTCACTCCCAGCCATGCTATTTCTTCATGTTATTACCTTGCGTGGCTAAGTGATTTCTCTCCCTACCTGACACCCTGGTTCCCAAAGGCCTGAGAGCTGGCGACGCTGCCCCTGGGGGAGGGGAGGGGGAACAGTCCCAAAGCCCACAGCCTACCCTTGAAAACAACCCATTAAGTCGACTTTGTTCACCATCTTGAATCAGCTCCAACACCTCTGTTGGTTTAAGTGCCCTGGAAAGGGGACCACTGGCCCTGCTGCCCCCACCTCGCTTACCTGGAGCTACAGGGATCCTGGACAGCACACGGCAAGGGCGGAGGAAAGCGAGGCTCGGATGGACCCGGTTGGGAGCAGCTGTGTGGTCAGAGCCCGGCTCCTTCACCTGAAGCCAGGGCCACTCCCGCTGTGGCCACGCCCCTGCGCGCTCTCGTCCCTCCCACTTCTGCACGCTCAGCTCTTACTCACGTCTCTTGGCAGCTTCTCCACAATTGAAGAAATTATTCAGGCTGGAGCTGCTGTCGCCTGCACAGCTTCCAAAGGCCTCCAACATGCTCAGGCAGGAAGGAGTCGTGGTAAATCCTGCCTCGCTCATCCAGTCATCCAAATATAAGGGCAATTCCAGTAACCCACGTGGGACCGGGAGGTGATATTATAAGAAATAAAAGGCATGTGTGATGCTTGTAAATAATTCACACTTCTCAGATATGGTCGTGCCACGAAGAGCACCCTAACCTCCATCTTCTCATGTAAATTGCAGTAGCTCATTCTGTTAGATGCCAAAGAGGTGGCTACCTATTAAAGGAAAAGGTGGTCCCACAAGAAAGAGGTTGCATCCATTAAATAAATTATACGTAGCAAAATAAAGAATACCAAATTGATAAGAAAAGGTGTTTGATGGGGTTACCCAGACAATATGGATTTGGTTTGCACAGCCCTGCCCTGAGTCTCCGTGCAGACTGCTCTGTGCTCATGCACCAGCTGTCCGGGCTTCCCAAAGCTCCATCATTCCGTGGGACTTCCTCCTCCTCCCTTCCCGCCAAATATGCTGTCAGGAAAGGAACTCACACTGAGCCAGTTCCTTCTCTGCTGTGCTTTGCTACTATTCTCTACTGTTCATTTACAAGAATTTTTCGAAATAATCTGTGTCTTGTACGATCTCCTCTATCTGAACACAAGCATCTTAAAGGTAAGGATCAAGCCTCATTCCTTATTGCAACACCAGCACTTGGTTGACTAGACACCAAATGCTTGTTGACTGCATGAATGACAGCAACTCACTTTGCTAAACTAAGATCGACAAACAGCTTTCCTCCCCCCAGGCCCTAGGCATTTTATTATTAACCAGAACCAAAGTCATGAACTAAGTGAGTTAACCCCCAAAAGTAGAATTTCGGGCAGCAGTGGAGGCAAGAAAGGCACAAGAGTGATGTGGGTGGGGTACCTCTCAAAAATCAGACCATCCCGCTGCATGGGGACCGTGAGTTTCGGGGCCAAGTCATAAACTTGGAAACTGACTCTAACTCTCAGGGCTTCGTAAATCTTAGACAAAGTGCTAATTCTCTCAAGCCTCAGTTCGCTGACCTGTAAAATGGGGCACATAGATGCCTGAAGAGGCAGTCGATATAAAATGCCCAGCACCTCGCATGCGTCCCCAGTAGCGGTGGTGACAATCACCACGCTGACTCTTCCTCCCACAGTGCAGCCCCGGGGAGCAGCAAAATGGCCAAGAGGCTGGGGCAGGATGTTCGCATCTAGCTCACTGAAATCATTCATTGAGTCCCTGCTGCATGCTTGCCACTGTGATCCGACGACTTCAAGAGACTTGCACTCAAATCGGAGCACTTCAGCCTCTCTCCCTTTGGACGGCTGAATTGCCTCTAACACCCCGGACAGAAACACCCCCCAACAGGAAATCGGCAGTTCCAAGGAGCCCGCACATAGGTCCAACTGCCGGAAAGAAATGTCTCTCTAAAAGATATTTAGTAGGAAATGAAATGCCTGTTTGTGGGAAGAAGCGTTTGTTCCATAATTCCTAAAATAATCTATCTTTTTTTTCTCTCTTATTTGCCACAGAAACCATGTTACGGTCTGTATATTTTTTAAAAAGTAGGGTTTTTGGTTTTTGTTTGTTTTTGTTTGTTTCTTGGAGGGAAGACATATAGCTTAAAGAATGAATTATCCGTTCATTCATCATACAAATGTATCAAACAATAATTTCCTCTAGTTCAACGAAAGTAATCGTCAGCCCAAATATTTAATAACCTTGGAGACTGTTCTGTTGGGGCTTTTTCTTACCTATAGGTTGAAACGTTGCAAACATTATAACTTGATTACTCAGCATTGCAGCTGAGGGTTGACACACCCAGCCACTCCCAGGAACAATTCAAAGGGGCTTTGTTATAGCATGCTTAGAATCATTCACAGTCTCTCTCCCTCTCTCTCCCTCCCTCTCTCTCTCTCTCTCTCTCCAAGAAGATAAATTTCAGCTACAAAATCTTGAGCACCCTCCCCCGAAACCTACAACTCATCACGTGTTTTTCTCCCCACTGATAAGGACGAGTCCCTCCGATGTGTATGACAAAGCTCCCATACAGCGGAGGGATAAGAATCTTGCACATGTCCAGCGAGTCACAGAAATGATACAATAAGGGCTCCTATCTAGACCCTGAGAACTACTATCTCCTCTTCACTCTTCACATGTGGAGGCAACTTTACCTTCACATTTCTGAGGCGGAAAAAAAATATATGTTTCAAAGCCTCAGATTTACAATCCCTCACCCTAACTACATCCTTTTCAAGAATTCAGCAACCTAACAGGCCATCATGCTCCTGGTCTCATCAACTTCTGGTGTTTAAGAAACCCAACACTCTGTCTGGAAGAAATTTTATAATAAATGATAACCTGTTATGGAAAGTAACTGACATGTAATTTTCTACTAGGAAGCAAACCTAAGAGGAGAATAAAAAACTAAGACAACTCTACAAACAATAAAGAAAGAGCAATGCTCACAAGATTAAGTTATGTCTCAGGAGGTTAAGAAATATATCAATGTGTGTGTACATTTAGGGACTTCTGTTTCTTGCTGTAATGCACTTAAGGGTTCCTTGATTTTGCATTAAAAATTATAGATGTGGCCCAGCTGGTGTGGCTCAGTGGGTTGAACATCGTCCCTTGGACTGAGAGGTCCCATTCGATTCCCGGTCAGGGCACATGCCTGGGTTGTGGGCTCGATCCCCAGTAGGGGGCATGCAGGAGGCAGCTGATCAATGTTTCTCTCTCACATTGATGTTTCTATCTCTCTCTCCCTTCCTCTCTCTCTAAAAAATCAATAAAAACATATTTTTTAAAAATTACATATGTGGGAAGAACATCTGTAACAAAAATAAATTAATTTTAAAAAATTACATGTGTGTATATACTTAGAAGACCTCAAAAAATGCTTAAAATCATAACAATAGTTATTTCTGGCTGGTGAAATTAAAGGTGATTTTAATTTATTTTCTGTAGTGCCCTGTATCGTCCTAATTTTCTACAGTCATCATATATTATTTCTCATGATTAGAAAGTTCTATTTCTTGACAAGTTACTTTCAAAAAGCCGTCTGCCACAACTGAGGCTTTGCATAATAAATCTCCAGTTGTCATCAATTACTACCTGCACTGTACAAGACACCTGCTGTTTTAGTAGCTAATAAAGGGCTACATAACTTAAAGGTATGTCTCTTAAGAAGGAGAAATGCCAGAGTGTCCCTCAGTGAGGTCTAGGAACTCAAAGTAGCCCAGCAGAAGCTGAGGTCACACCCAAGACAGCAACCAGCCCCAAACCCACCCGAGATGAGCCAGGCCAGGGAGCCGGGAGCTAGAGGCGGTGCTGGTGGGGAGCATCCCTGCCCCAGGAGGGAGGTACAAGCTGGAGCAGGCCTGACCCTTTCTCCCTCCTCCCGCCTCCCACCAGCCCACGTGCTGAGTCAGGGGTGGCCTTGATCTCTGCCTGGCTACATGATGCAACCACAGTGTGTCAAGGAGGAGCCGACGCTCAGCTCTGAGGGAACCTTGACCATCCCCAAGCCCAAACCCCTTGTTTCCAGACAGTGAAACTTAAGCCCCCAGTACCTTGTGTGCGGATTAAGTGATATAAGACCTTTTGATTGCATAACTTGTGATAACCATTTTACATAAGTCCTACTTGTATTCCATTTTATAAATGAAAAGGAAATAACTATAGATGTTCAGGGTTAGTGAGTAGCTTCCCCCAGGTCACAGGTTGATAATGGGGGCCACAGATTCCATATTTAAAGCCAGGGCGGGCTTGGAACAACTACTCTACATGCCTGTATTAAACATCATACTGTTGTGTTTAATCTGAAATTAAATGTAGCCGTGTCATGTGGATGATGGAATATATCGAGTGGAATATGAGAAGAACTCCTTTCTTCTCGTAAGCATCAGTTCCCCATGGAGCAGGACCTATGAGAGAGGAGCTGTAGGAATGTTCACATCTCAGACACATGAAGTCAACTGGCTTCTCTTGGGAAAGCAGAAAATTTTCAAAAGCTTCCAAGATATTTGGGAGGAGAGGAAGCAGTGTGCAAATTTGTTTTTTCTTAACTCATTTTTATTGTTGAATGTATTACAGATGTTTCTCCCTTTTTCCCCATTGACCCCCTCCTCCCCAATCCCATCCCCCTCCTGCCTTCCCCACAAGATTATTGGTGCCCATTGGTTATGCACATATGCATAGAAGTTCTTTGGTTTATCTCATCCCGCCCTCCCTCCCCCTTCCTTTGGAGGTTCATCGGTCTAACAACCTAGTTGTACTTCTTAATCCCTTCATTTTTTTCACCCGTCTGGCAAGCAACAAAAAGTTCTCTGTATCTACGAGTCTTTTTCTGCTTGGCTTCCTCATTTTGTTTGTAGATTCAATTGTTGGTAGATATGTATTAATTGCCGTTTTATTGTTCATATTTTTGTTCTTCTTCGCCTCCAAGAAGACCCTTCAACATTTCATGTAATACCGGTTTGGTGGTGGTGAACTCATTTACCTTTTCCTTGTCTGGGAAACTCTTGATATGGCCATCGATTCTAAATGATAGCTTTGCAAGATAGAGTAATCTTGGTTATAGGTCACTGCTTTTCATCACCTTGAATATTTCTTGCCACTTCTTTCTGGCCTGCAAATTTCTTTTGAGAAATCAGCTGACAGTCTTATGGGAGCTCCTTTGTAAGTAACAAACTGCTTTTCTCTCACTGCTTTTAAGATTCTCTTTATCTTTAAACTTTGGCATTTCGATGATGATGTATCTTGGTGTGGACCTCTTTGGGTTCAACTTGTTTGGGACTCTGTGCTTCCTGG